CGGCAAGGGTGGAAACTGAACTTTTATAGTCAGTTAACTCCCTCGCCTCGGGAAGATGACATCAAGCTGACATGCCATGATATAGTTGGTATAACTGAGTTGGTTCGTGGGATAAAATATTCAGGGATGTCTGCCTGTGTGGAGGTTGTGGACATCTTTAGACACAATTTATGGATAACAACTTCTTTCATACTGTTAAGGTGACGTTTCGGTATAGATCCTTATACCGTTGTCAAGCAAGACTGAATGAGGATGTTGTTGTTGCATTAAGTGTTTAAGAGGTCGCCTTCTGCCTAGGCAATTTCGGCTGACCCGTCCCTCTTTGGGACTCCTGTGTGTGAGTAGGGTACACACATCTATTGTGAGTTTGGTGTTCACATAATTTCTGTTTTCTTATTATCCCCCGCCGCGCGAAAGCGCGAAGCGGGGGATATAGTATTCACGACCGTCCGTACGTCCCACCTGTTTGTTGCCGCGATATCTCAAGAACTAAACACTGGATTGTCTTCATATTTGGAACTATGGTGTATATACAGACTCCGCAGACACCAGTCGGTTTTGGTGACCTTGATCCCATTTTCAAGGTCACAGCAGACAAATCTGCTTTTAGAGTTGGAAAACGGTGTTGCCGCGATATCTCAAGAACTAAACACTGGATTGTCTTCATATTTGGAACTATGGTGTATATACAGACTCCGCAGACACCAGTCGGTTTTGGTGACCTTGATCCCATTTTCAAGGTCACAGCAGACAAATCTGCTTTTAGAGTTGGAAAACGGTGTTGCCGCGATATCTCAAGAACTAAACACTGGATTGTCTTCATATTTGGAACTATGGTGTATATACAGACTCCGCAGACACCAGTCGGTTTTGGTGACCTTGATCCCATTTTCAAGGTCACAGCAGACAAATCTGCTTTTAGAGTTGGAAAACGGTGTTGCCGCGATATCTCAAGAACTAAACACTGGATTGTCTTCATATTTGGAACTATGGTGTATATACAGACTCCGCAGACACCAGTCGGTTTTGGTGACCTTGATCCCATTTTAAAGGTCACAGCAGGCAAATCTGCTTTTGGAGTTGGAAAACGGTGTTGCCGCGATATCTCAAGAACTAAACACTGGATTGTCTTCATATTTGGAACTATGGTGTAAATACAGACACCGCAGACACCAGTCGGTTTTGGTGACCTTGACCCCATTGTCAAGGTCACAGCAGGCAAATCTGTTTTTGGAGTTGGAAAACGGTGTTGCCACAATATCTCAAGAACTAATCGCTGGATTGTCTTCATATTTGGTACTATGGTGTACAGGCGGGGGATATTTCGTCACTCTGTGACAAATACTTGTATTGATATGATTTCATTTTTATCCTTGGCTGCTCTGTTTATAATGAATGAGGAACATGGTACAGAATATATATAGTAGATGGAGGATTAACAGTAGATGATAAACAGCAACAACAATTGCATACATGAATGGGATAACTTGAGTAAGTGTTGACAGAAGGATATTACTGTTACCATGGTTACAACACAATGGACAGAGAACACATGGGTGGAAGCCAATGGGACATGAAGCCAATTAAACAGGATAAGTTTATATAGGTGTAGTGATTATTGCTTATTGAGTTTATGGTAGGCAGATGGGATGAAATAGGCATGATCTCTGTTGATTGATGGCTTGTGGCGGGGAATGTGGACTGCTTCTGTTAGTTTTCTTTTAGTGAAATCATGGAGGTTGATGGAGAGGATGTGGACGTTGTCCCAGTTGATGTTGTGATTAGGGCAGTTGCTGATTTACTGTCTGATTTGATGATTGAGGTTTTGTACTCGTTGATTCTGGTGTTGATGGGGCGGGATGTTTCACCTACGTAAGATTGTCCACAGTTGCAGTCAATTTTATAAACTAAGTAATGCCTATCAAACAAGACATCTTTCGGGTTCAAAATTCTTTGTATTAGCGTTACAAAGGCATGGTTGAACATGTTGAATTGATATCAACACTCATTATTTTATCACCTCGTGTTGATATATTTGATATCAAAAGGAACTCCATGACATTCTCTATGTACTTCAACCTCCCCAAGCTACATGTGGAGGTTGAAATACATAGAGTGAGTGAGTGTGTATGGTTTTACACTGCGTTTACCAATATTCCAGCAATATCACATCGGGGGACGCCAACAAAAGGCTGAAATGTTTCGAGGATCTTACCAAGTGTTGATATATTTGATATCAAAAGACATGAGGGAGAGATTCTATTTATCATTCTTTGAAAACTGTAATCATGGTAATAGTCAGTGTCTTGAGTATAAAAAGTACAGTTAACATCTTCAGTGACAGGGAGATTCGTGATGTCATCTTAGTGTGACGTCAAGGTAACCAATGATGTCATCTTAGTGTGACATCAAGGTAACCAATGATGTCATCTTCGTGTGACATCAAGGTAACCAATGATGTCATCTTAGTGTGACATCAAGGTAACCAATGATGTCATCTTCGCGTGACATCAAGGTAACCAATGATGTCATCTTAGTGTGACATCAAGGTAACCAATGATGTCATCTTAGTGTGACGTCAAGGTAACCAATGATGTCATCTTAGTGTGACGTCAAGGTAACCAATGATGTCATCTTAGTGTGACATCAAGGTAACCAATGATGTCATCTTAGTGTGACGTCAAGGTAACCAATGATGTCATCTTAGTGTGACATCAAGGTAACCAATGATGTCATCTTAGTGTGACGTCAAGGTAACCAATGATGTCATCTTAGTGTGACGTCAAGGTAACCAATGATGTCATCTTAGTGTGACGTCAAGGTAACCAATGATGTCATCTTAGTGTGACGTCAAGGTAACCAATGATGTCATTTTAGTGTGACATCAAGGTAACCAATGATGTCATCTTAGTGTGACATCAAGGTAACCAATGATGTCATCTTCGTGTGACATCAAGGTAACCAATGATGTCATCTTAGTGTGACATCAAGGTAACCAATGATGTCATCTTAGTGTGACATCAAGGTAACCAATGATGTCATCTTAGTGTGACGTCAAGGTAACCAATGATGTCATTTTAGTGTGACATCAAGGTAACCAATGATGTCATTTTGGTCTTCAAAGCATTTTGATGCCATTTAATTCATGATGTAGCATTTCTCAGGATAGTTCCTGAGAAAGTCAGTTTCAGGTGGTAACCATGGTAACAGCTGTTACCTATTTGGTTAAAGACAGATTAGGTGTTCCCTGGTCTGAGGAAACATTCGCGAGAGTAGAAGGAACTTAAATCAATGCTTGGTTGACAGCAGGGGATAATACTTCAGGGACAAGTGCAAACTTTTCCTCAGTAACCAATAGGTGAGAAAACTGTCGGCCTTGACGACTGAAAACAGTGGGTTCTTGTAGGAAGTGACCTTTACATGATGTTTACAGGACATTCTGGTTTGATCGAGTGTATTGCAAGAGTTGGAGATACTTTGTTTGTGTCTCTACAGGAGTGTTTTCATCATGTTTATCATGTTATGGGTGTTAGATTCTTGTGCAGAAACTATCAAGACTTTGTATTTTTCATGGATCTTAAATCATAGTAATAAGTGATGGTTGAAATTGTTTTCTGAAGCAAAATTGAAAACAGTTTATAAATAATGTCTCTGCCTGTTGAAACAAGGACTGTTTTGTACTAAGTCTATTTTTTTGTATTTAGCGATACTGTAAACAAGGGTTTACAACCTGCCACTTCACATGGTAACATTTATACCTGTAATGATGTTATTGTATAGATGTGTGGTACACCTACATGATGCCCCTCCCAACGTCTTTTCCCTCACCCTCCACACATCTTCCTCCACCCACACCCAACCCACCATCTTCCTCCACCCACCACTTTCCCCCACCCACAACCTTCCCCCACCCTGACCTTACCCATATCCCACCTACCATCTTCCCCCACCCACCATCTTCCACCATCCACACCCCACCCAATATCTTCCCCCACCCACATCTTCCCCCACCCCTACCCTACCCACACCCCACCCACATCTTCCCCCACCCACATCTTCCCCCACCCCTACCCTACCCACATCCCACCCACCATCTCCCCCCACCAACCATCTTCCCCCACCCACCATCTTCCCCCACCCACAATCTTCCCCCACCCACATCTTCCCCCACCCACCATCTTCCCCCACCAACCATCTTCCCCCACCCACATCTTCCCCCACCCACCATCTTCCCCCACCCACACCCCACCCACCATCTTCCCCCACCCCGACCTTACCCATATCCCACCCACCATCTTCCCCCACCCACACCCCAACCACCATCTTCCCCCACCAACCATCTTCCCCACTCACCATCTTCCCCCACCCACCACCTTCCCCACCCTGACCTTACCCATATCCCACCCACCATCTTCCCCACCCACCATCTTCCCCTACCCACCATCTTCCCCATCCCGACCTTACCCTCATCCCACCCACCATCTTCCCCCACCCACCACCCTCCACCGTCCCGACCTTACCCATATACCACCCACCATCTTCCCCCACCCACCATCTTCCCCCACCCACCACCTTCCCCCACCCCAACCCCAACCACATCCCACCCACCATCTACCCCCACCCACCACCCCACCCAAAACCTTCCTCCACCCACCATCTTCCCCCACCCACTACCTTCCCCCATCCCGACCCCATCCACATCCCACCCACCATCTTCCCCCACCCAGACCCCATCCACATCCCACCCACCATCTTCCCCCACCCACCACCCTCCACCGTCCCGACCTTACCCATATACCACCTACCATCTTCCCTCACCCACCATCTTCCCCCACCCACCACCTTCCCCCACCCCGACCCCACCAACATCCCACCCACCATCTTCCTTCACCTACATCCCACCCACATTACACCAAACAACAAGCATTTCCCCCACCTGTAATGAATAGGAAATATGCCCTTGATAACGAGGGATGTTACAATGGTGTCTTTACTTGCAGGGCATCTTTGGAGGAGGCTGAGTCGGACATCGAGGCCCTGGAAGCTCGACTAGAGCGGGTAAATATCAATTACATTTCACATTCTTCACTACTATATACAGGGACGTGGGTGGCCAAGTAGTCTAAAGCATCACAATTCGCTGTGCAGAGTTGCGTCCCTTTGGCACACCAGAAACCTATGATTGTAGGTTCGAATCCCGGTTTGCCCCAGTTATGTTTCTAGGTTTGTCAACACCATACCCGTGCTCGTGGCTTTCACCGAAGTGGTAAACATCTGAGACCTGCATCACTTTGGGCTTTCCTCACACATTAAGCTGACATGCCGATTGACTGAAATAATGTCTAAAGTGACATTAAACCCAACTCACTCACTCACCCAGTACTATATACAGCTGGAAGTAAATCAGACAAAGTTTCCTTATAACCGGTACATCCTTCTTGGCATGGTGCAGTAGCCATGCATGTCAAAACTGAACTGTACTATTTGGGGTAAGAAAGCAGCTCAGTGAAAACACAATTTGATTGTTCTGTGGCCCATAAAATAATTCAGTGTAAACAAAGGTAACAAACAAAGATCTAAGACAATAAATATTTTGATTCCGATTACCCTTTATTTTAGTATAGGGTAGGTAGGTATGGTATATAAAACAAATAATTCTATAGTGGGGCCTTGTGCTTGTTGCCTCCAAATTTGAAAAATGACCCACATTTTCAAATACAATGGGGCATTTTAACATTGTGCTGTATTGGCAAGTAAGTGTACCTCTGGATAATTGAAATTTTCACACAAAGAGACCATGTCAGAAAATTCCTCGCGTGAACCCTGAAATAATTATGTTAAAAATTGTAAAAGGGTTTGGGAGAGCGCCTTTGTTTTTTATGTCAGTGATCAAGCAGAAGAGAATGAACATAGTTCTTGTTGATGAAAATCAGGCTGTAGTGATTACGTTTCGCTATATTTGATGGCTAGCCGTTCTTGTTGCATTTCAAACACAGAAATACATCCCCAGTACAGTGTTTAGTATGTGATAGGGTATTTCATTTTATGTATGGAACAGTTTCATGAGTCATCATGTGATATCGACCAATGAGTGATCTCGAAAATGGAAACACCTTTCTATATATCGTGTTTGCTTTGGGAAAAACCTAAGTGTTTGTGTGAATAACATGCACATCTTTTTCTTCACATCTGTATTTTTTAAGACACAAAAATATTGGGTTTGGATGGCCCTAAACATGATAAACTGATTATGTTCCACCTGCTGTGACATGGCGACAGTACTCTGTCAGTATGTCTGACTACGGCACAAAACAACAAACAACAAACAAAACAATAGAAGTCACATTACTCATGTTTCTAGTAATTAGGTGTAGACCAGTAAATGTACGTATAAGGCGTGTTTTTCATACCAAAATTAGGGGTCTTTCAAGGGGGTCGTTTTATACGCAGGGTTGAAGAGTTTTGATGTTTTTTCCCCCACACAGAGACACCAAGAGCACATAACACTGGAAATACTATGTCAACAAGTCGTCCTGACGTACGGAAACTAATCATGTAATTACACTGTCTGGTTATAAAAAGTGTTCATTGTATATCTGGACTTATGTTTGTAATCTATTTTTTAAAATTTGATTCAAAATTTGATTCAATATTGTTTCATTCATTTCGGCGAAATTGCATGTGAAGTGATCGGAAGATCGCACAACTGACCTTTATTTACAGCAACCATGGTCAGATTACTGCTATTGATGCCTTGTAACAAACTTTAGTGGATAGAGAATGGAAATATATATCATAAATGTCATACATTGACTCGCTGAAAGTCATATTTGTTGTAGTTTGACTATTATATGTCAACATAAAGTTTTCGCTATCGCGAGCAGGGATCATCAACGTTGATTGGGTGGCGATATACGGTACCTGTATGGAACTATTTATGCAAACCGAGCCTTCCTGGCATATGAAACTTTCATGTTCATTCCTAATACTGAGTGATGTACAAGTATCGACAAAGTGTTACATCCAGCTTCCTGGATGCCACGATGTGTGAAATCTTTAAGATCTTTGCTTCGTCAAATGGCTGCAGTCATGCTTGGAACTTCAATTATCACTGAGCTGAGTGGGGTTGGATAGATCATACAGCACAGTTTGGCAGGGATACCTAATTTGAGGACTTATATAAGCGTTAGGCGCTTAGAGGATCCTGGTCGGCACATGAGGGTCTAGTTATTCTTCATCTCTCTCCAAGCAGAAGGTTGTGTGATACGACCAGCAGCTTCTTATGTGAAACCTTTCGCTGATTGAGAGCCAGTCTGCCATGAAGATGTTCCCTGATTGGAATTCCAATGTGTGTTTTTTGGCCTTTCTTGTTGATACTATGTTATATAAAGGAGTTTAGTGAAAAGGGAAATAATGCCAGAGTGTGTGTTTTTCAGCGATGTCAGCATGGTTTCTGATGATTTCATTTTCTGGAACATTGACGTATTGTCATCTAAAGTGTTCTGAAGATCTTTTTCAAGTTTGGTAAAAGAATGTCCTTTCAAGAGGTGATAAAAGTATGAAAGTGTCTCTGTAATCATGGAAATATATTATGTTGGCTTAGGAATCTTATTAACACAGTGTTATAATTAAGAGGGACTTTGGGGCTTGCTTAAATAGTATTTGTGGTATTTGACCCCCAATGTCTATTGACCCCCTATAATTAACTGTTTTCAAGTACCCTGTGATGTGGTCATGAAATTAGATGACTAAGAGTGAGAAGAAATGGTTTGTTTGTTTGTTTGTTGTTTACACCACATTCAGCTGAGTTTCAGTATATTGTGACTTGTTTTTATTGTCTGTCTTTCTATCAGAATGGCAAATTTGAAGTCACTGGATTATCTGGTCCAGACTTGATTATTTACGTGGTGTGGGTATGTGGCTGGAATATTGCTGAGTTTTGCGTTAGACAACATACAGGATACTCTGAAGGCTATGATGGAAGGAAGGTCCAAGCACCGTTGAATGCTATGTAAATTGAAATACCGTATTTGCCATATTAAGCGTCCTCCCATAAGCGACCAACTTCTGGATAAACATCTACAGATTCTTTATAGGCACTCTCGACTATTACCAAAATTTTACCTAAAAGAGTCTTCATTTTCTAGTGGATATTACATTTTGTTTGACAGAAAACAGCATAGAAGGGGCATATAACTACCTCATATCTATTATCAAAAATGTTTTAGTGAACTAACTTTGTTCACTGTAACTCGTTCCCTGAAAACAATGTTAACAAGCACCTATCCATGTCACCTTTCTAATTTTACTACAGGGCTTATTATGGCGAATATGGAAATACAGTATAGAGGAACAGGTTGCTAAACTCCTGACCCGTGATATTATCAGTACAATTAGGCCAGACGAGCAAGGCCATTGTTTCTAATGAAAGTGAAAGTACGCCTTTAACTGTAATTTAGCCGAGAAAAAATGTTAATGTAGCAATTTTCCCGATGAGATTAAAACAGAAACAGGAGGTTGTCTACCGCCCTCTGTTACGAGGTCTGTTACAAGTTCTGTTACAGGTATTTTAAGACTGATGGGTGTTTTATTGTGTGCAGCAAGCTCCAGATTACACGGTGATTTAAGTGAGGAGAGGATGTGAAGGTTTGAGGCCAGATGCAGTGGCTGGGCTTGGGGAATGCACAAGCACCACTCTAGGTTAGACAATAGCCTTGCTCCAAGGCTGTAGTGAAAGATAAGTTTGGGATGTGTAGTAATTCTATCTCCCTTTTAGGCAAGTCTAGCTATGTGGACATTAAAGACACCAGTCTCTTATTGGGACAACTTGTTTTTATTATTTACATGATCTAGAAATTATGATTTAAGCTAATAATTATTGCCTTGGAGACTTGTGCAAGTCTAGTTTGACAACTTGGCCAGCAGCAACTGATGAGGAGATGGATCATTACCCAGTGTTAAGGAGGTTTGGGGGGTTCACTAATTTCATAAGTAGCGTTGTATGATGTATGACAGGTGTAATTGGGTGGTCTCTTTCTGGTCTAGACCCGTGAAGATTCCGGGGTAGAATAGGTCTTCAGCAACCCATGCTTGCCGTAAAAGGTGACTATGCTTGTCGTGAAAGGCGACTAACGGGATCAGGTGGTCAGGCTCGCTGACTTGAATGATGCATGTCATCGATCCCAATTGCGTGGATCGATGCTCATGATATCAATCACTGGATTGTCGGGCCCAGACTCGATCATTTACAGACCACCATCAAGCTGGAATATTGCAGAGTGCGGCGTGTAACAACAAACCAACCAACCAACCTTTCTGGTCTAAGGTGCCCAGTTTATTGTATAGTTATGTCCATTAGACTGCCAGAAACCCTACATCATGGGTTCAAATTCCAGATTCGCCCTGCGTATGTTTCTAGGTTTGTCAGCACTGTGCCTGTACTGGTGGGTTTCACCAACGTGGTAAATGTCTGAGACCTGCATCACTTCCGGCTTTCCTCCCACATCAAACTGACAAGGATGTCATATCAGTGAAATGTTCTAAGCAGCATTTAAACCCAACTCACTGTTTCTTTGTTGTGTGTTTTAGTCTAGTCACTCCGCCCAAGATGACATGGCTTTTCAGTATTTGTTAACTGATGATGGAGATTTTGTTCTATTTTTCATTAGGTTTGTTTCACTATAAATATGTTTTCATGCTACAATACGATATTATTTTTTTTAAATTTCTGTATTGATACAAGACAAGATGATACACTTGCTAAAATAAATTACTTCCTACTTGTTTAATGACCTCAGCGTTTTTATCAGTCAAATATTGCAAAATGTGTTGTAATTAGAGTTTCAAGTTCACTACTAAAAATAGCCACTACGAACATGTGTCTACAGCTAGCTTTCCTTTTGAACCTACTCTGAAATATTTATAGTAAGAAGTTTTCACGCGATTTAACGTAAATATGCATATTGTCATGATTGTGATACGTATCGTATTGTGACCTATGTATCGTGGTGCATATCGTATCGTGACCTTGCTGTATCGTGACCTTGCTGTATCGTTTA